TTTGTTTAAAAATTGTTTTTTAATTCAGACAATTTTTAGGCATGAAACGCCTGGTTATGGGTCTAGCTGTTGTGCTTTGGATCGTGATGGCAGGTTCTTTTCCTTCAGGATTTTCTCCTAGAAAGCAGAATTCCTGGTTCCATTAAGTGCGGCAAGTTCTGTCAGTCCTGCCACCCCCCACAGCATGGCACCACCACCACCGTGTTTGACTGCTAGGTATGTTGTTTTATTGAGACAGAGTGCTGGTTCTATCCCAAGTTTAATGGAACAAACATCTTCCAAGTCCACCTTTCAGTAAACAGCTTTTTTTCCTCAAAAGTCTTGGGGATTGGCAAGAGTTTTCTTCGGCATTGTCTGACTTCACAATGCCAACAATGCCGCATACTCCAGAGAAAAGTCTTTGGGCTTTAAAACAAGTGAGACCAACTTGTTATCTGTCTTGTCTCACAAGATTATGTTGATTAGTTCAAGAAAGCCACACATATGGAAGTTTAAATGGAAAAAAAATACATCCTGTTGTGAGGGGGTAGGGATTTGGTGATGTCAGGCGTGATATGGGGCGTTTCTATGTGAAAGTTAAAACATTTTTAAGTTTATGGTGAGACAGCAAACTTTGAGGCCTGGCCACGCCCCTTCAGCATGCACACAACTCAGCTTTTGATCATTTTTAATCCCCTATGCCTTATTGGCCAAATATGAAACATATGGTAAAAAAAAAAATCCCTAGGAGGAGTTCAGTAAAGTTAGACATGTATGAAAACTGAAAGATGGCTAAAGACGACCTTTTGGCCCAGAATGTCTGCCTTCCTGTTGGGTTTAGGTCATACCATCAAAATACAAGAATTTCATTCAGGGGGCAAATTTGGGTAAAGTCTGATGAGTTTTTGTATATGTTCAGGCCTCCTCAATAGTGCTTCATTTGTGTCAAAAACTGGAATAAACATTTGAATTAGAACAGGCGTCACTGCACTTTAATGGATAAACAGCGTTGGTACGGAGGCAAATAAGATCCGCTCAATAATTTTCTTTTCTACACCCTCTTGGGAAACATTTCTGCAACATATTTTCCTTATTTTTTTATGCACCTCTACTTACTCTGTCTTACTGTCTTCCTACCCTCTGTCCCAGCTTCCAGCAGTTATTTTTGTGGTCGACGAGTCACTCCTGATGCTGTAATCAGCATAACTGTGGTGGCCTGCTCATTACGCTGGGCTTGCGCTGTGATTTAGACAAATTGTTATGAGATGTCTTTGCTTCTCTAAGAGGAAAACACTAGTTGAGACACACTGAGCTGGAATAGGAAAAAAGAACGTGGTCTAGAGGCAGAGGGTAAGGACGCTGGTTGTCAGTCAAGGATGGGGCACATGATGTCTCTTTAAACTTATTATGGTTGTCTTAGAGACGACGTTAACCAGCAGGAGGAGAACTCTAGCACTAGCATGCGACGCGCTTTGTAAAGTACAAACAAAACGGTGATTTATTGCAGGTTATCCTCCATCCATGCATGTTATTATTGTGACAGAAAAACAAAACCCCAATGTTTTCTATGAGACCGACTTTAGTGTTCAAGGTGTAAAGAAAACCTGCCATAGAGGAAATGTCTGCATTCTTGCTAACCATCTACAGATTTTGCTTGTTGCAAACAAGAAATTTCAGTATTTTGAAGACCAGGTAACACTGTGAATGTGCAACCTTTCTGCAGGTGCATGCTTACTCAGTCAGTTTTGCCAGCACGTCCTTCTGAGGGGTGCGTGGTTCTGAAATGTGTCAATCCAAAATGAAAGTAAAAAAAAAAAAGTGCGAGCATAAAAGCTTAAGCTTGTAAAATGTAAACTTGAATCCAAACAATTCTGAGATGTTTATGTTTGGAAGGTAAGCCAGCCTTACGGTGAGCTCTGCAGGCTCGGCCAGGTGCAAGTCTCGGGTGTCGCGCATTTTCGCATACTTGAACTGGACCTCTTAAATCAACACAGCAGTCTCTGACAGGCTGTTGGATTCGAGTTTGTCCTCGGTCAACCTCATAATCTTACAGCTGTATCTTCCGGGCCAGATCCAGAATGGGGCCGCCACTGAAATCACAGGGTGCAGATGGTCACTGTGCATTGACCTCTACGTGGACCAGGCTGCACCAAGCCAGCTGAACACGCCTCCGTCTCCACAGATTTGAGCTGTTTGTTCTCACAGCCGTATTGCAGAATTAATGAGTCAAATATTAATTTGCAATCCAAGTATACAGCGTTATTTGATCTTTTGGTTCCAGCACTTATGGGATGTATTTTGAGTCAGACATGAGTTGTGTGTGTGTGTGTGTTGTCATTCTGCCTTGAAGTACTACTATTTCAGCTGCAGACACAGCTACATCTGCTGCACTTAGTGGTTTCAGTTTCCCAGTCGGCTCAAAACACAACACACCTTTGAGGTCACAGATTCCTCCGGCTTACAAAGTGAGTCGTCAGTGGAGAAAATTTACACCTCTTTTTTTTCTCTGGAAATCCCAGCATCAATGCAGTGTAACATATTTCCCCACATCTGTTTTTTTTTCTGTCCCACTGCTCTTTTCTGCTGCCTAATTTTTCTCAAGATGCTGCAAAACTTCTACAAATCTGTAGAGAGCATGGATTTTTCATTTTTAGGGGGCCCAGAAAATCTTTGGGAACCACCGCTTTGCTCTGAAACTTCTGGCAGTCATTGTGCACAGAATTCACCATAAAATGAAGAACCTTATGATCGACCCTCAACATCCTCTAAAAAAATTGAGCCTCAAAATAACAGTGTTCTGAACATCTCAGTCACTCGACAGTGTGTCCTACCTTGCACAGATGGAACAGCCGCTCCTGGACGCATTTCTTTCCACATACATAAACGCAACCAAGAAATTCAGTCCATTCACACGGCGGGTTTGCATACAGAGAGGTTGTGACGAGAAGGGGCGGACGACTCGGGGCAGAGAACTAAAGGACGCAGTTTTCTTCGCGCAACTGCAACAGTGGCAACTGATTCTGGCAGTTCGGCTCAGCCACACGCAGCCCTTAACGCAACAGCTGGGAGCTTTCAGTCACAGCCTTCTTCAGGATACTGATGTCTACAAGAGACCCCAGAACCATCAGGATCTACAACAACTTCCTGAAGAAACTTTGATAGTGACAGTTGCTGGAGCATCTACTTTATGACAACTTTCCACAAAAGTGTATTTGAACTGTAAAGAGCCTACCAAAGGTCAATAGACTTTGTCCCCCAGAGACCAAACATAGAGGTCGCAACTGGGAAACTGCTGCATTGTTATTCGTAGAGGCAAACTCTTGGCTCTCCCTTTTGAGTCTTGATAGGACAGCCACTATTACAGGTAGTTGCGAACTATTGCTGCTTGTTGAGATGAGGGTCTAGTATACAATGAGCTGCTGAAGGACACAATGACTTCAAATAGGCTTCATGGTAAACTCCCTCTGCACTAAAGAAAGGCACAGACACTTGAAGGACATCTTGTGTATTGAGCTGCGTATTGGTCGTTTCTTGTTTTGTTTTTTTCCCCTGGTTTTTTAAAACTGTATACGACAATCTAACAATCTAACAGCACATCAGTGTTTTGTTTTCTATTTAAAAGAGTAAACAGGAGAGGTCACGGGTTTGTTGACCCTTGGACAAGTAATGCGAGCCCTGGAAAGTTTATACTGAAGACTGGCTCATGTGGTCAGATGAAAAAGTCACTTTTTGTGTTTGGGGACAGCAAGCACTCATCAGTGCATGAAAAGTGACCTCTAGTGGCAGTTTCGGCAATGTACATAGGCCGAGCCATACAGTCAAAGATACAGATCAACTTTCCATACACACAATGCTAAGATGATGAACGTTTATTCAAATTAATCACTTATATACCTGTCATACACACTTGCCACAGTTAGATGATGATGCTTATTTATGCTGATGCCAACCATACATCATGCATATATTTTGGGGAGTGAATATCTATATACAGTTCTATATACTGTCATTACTACAAAGAAGCAATGACTGTAATTATTGTCAAATTATCATTCAAGGTGTGCATGCTTCAGTGCTACTATGTACAGTATCTGTCAGGTTCTGGGTTGTTTTGAGGTTTGATTCTAGTTTCCGTGTTACTTACACTCGTTCTTTGATTAGGTCAGTTTTGTTTCCGTTTGATCTCAGTTCAGTCCTTTAGTTTTGTTCCCTATGTTTAGTTATTTGTCAGTGTAGATTAATTCTGCCAGTTACCCATCTTGTGCTCTCTCCCATGCCCCATCCATCCATCCATCCATCCATCCATCCATCCATCCATCCATCCATCCATCCATCCATCCATCCATCCATCCATCCATCCATCCATCCATCCATCCATTGTATCCATCCATCGACCCTTGTATGTTATTAGGCGCTGTTGACTGTCTCTCCAGTAGTCAACACGTGTTCGCATGTTGAGGCAAAACTTGTCAAAATGATCAGGTTTTCTAGAAAGCAAAACTAATTTTTTAAAAAAAAAGCCCTTTCTGTGTGTACAGTTCCTGAGTGTTGCTGCTTGTACAGAGTGAGATTTGATGCGGAGTATAAAACTCTCTGTGCGGCAGCAGCGCGGTGCTAAAAGTTGAAGATCAGGCCGGCCAACACTCTGTCTCATAAACGCTTACAGCTGTTAGCAAACGGGCGTCGCTTTTCTCAGATACGTGTTGGTGCATTAAACATCATCACTGGTGGCCTGAAGACACAAAGGACAGGAGAGGACACAGGCAGGTATTCTGAGGGCCAGATGATCTGACATAAGTAGGTTTGCATGTGATGTTAGACATTTGGATGGATGGATGGATGGATGGATGGATGGATGGATGGATGGATGGATGGATGGATGGATGGATGGATGGATGGATGGATGGATGGATGGATGGATGGATGGATGGATGGATGGATGGATGGATGGATGGATGGATGGATCTGGAAACACTGATGATGACTCCAGTGGTCCTGTTACATTACAGACACAAATAAACTACAGTACCAACAAATTTAATTCAGGTTGTTCCATTTCAACAGTTCAAGATCTATGATCATGTATAATTACATTTAGAAATACATTTTAGCACTTTTTTTTACCAACACAATCAAAATGGACTAAAAGACAAAACAAACCCTCTGTTGTTTGCTACGGAGACCCCGAGGGGGGAAATGTTTCTTTTGCACTACCTTGCAAAACATTGGCTCTCCCTCGCAATATGCTTAGTTATATGCTTAGCTGGTCTATTTTGTATACAGTGACAATTGTCAATTTCAAATGTCAAATACATACACATTAAAGAGCCGAAGTGAAAACCTGTTTATTAACTCTTTGATGCACAAAACTGATTGAAAATCGATTTATTCACTGCATGTTTGTGTGTGTGAGGCTGAGATGGATTCGCACATGAAAACGGCTTTTTAAACCATTCAGACCGACACAAAGAGACACAATCAAACTGAAGACTTTCATACTCAGTTATAATAACTCAGAAATAGTCCAAATAGTTTGGATCTATCTTTTTTTATTTCTTCCCTTCTCACAGAAAGTTTCTGTTTACATCACGTCTGTGATGCATTTCTGTCCTAAAGAAAAAGATATAAAACTTCAGATATGTCTCAACCAGATGTTAACATTAATGGAAAACTTTATGAAAGCCTTATATTATAGCAAAAAGTCTGATGGCCACTGTAAGAAAGGCTTACATTATTCAATTATCAGTAGATCATTGTGAGAAAACGCAAAAGAAGAAAGAAACCCTCCATGTACCCTAGGGGCCTCCGTAGTTTTCTTATGTCAGGAAAATCAACATGAATTAAAAACTGAGGAGCTCCTCTTGTTTTGGTCAAGGGACTGTTAATGACTAATTTAACTTTACAGCAAATACACATTTGAGTTTGACAAGATGAACAGGGTCTCAAAATGTTAAATGTCTCTGTTATATAAGCTTACAGTCTTCCATCCAGACCTGCCAGTCAGTGGTTGTTGTGTTGACATGTGAAAGCGTCAATCTGAGGTGCATCTAAGACAAAATACAGGAACAACGTGAAAGTTACCGAGCACACGTAACAGAACCGGACAAACTGAACTGGGCCTTGGGCCCAGAGTTTAACAGAAGTTGTGAATATCAAAGTGCCGAAGAGAAGGGAAAGGCCACGGAGGCCTAGTGATGGGTGGTCTGGTGAGCAGAATCAATTCTTCACAGAACCTAAACCTGAGTCAAGGCACAGAGGAGGAGCTGTCGAACTCCAGCGACGTGTGCTCCAACCCGCCGTATCCGTTCATCTTCTTCAGCTTCAGCTGGTCGACGTGGAACAGGCCCCGGGTTTCCAGGACCGACTCCTTCTTGGAGAACATCCTGCTGATCTCCATGAAGGTCTTGTTCTTCGTCTCCGGGATTACAATGTAAACGTAGATGGCGACCGAAAAGCAAACCGTGGCGAACACCAGGTAGCAATAGGACCCGGCAGACATCTGACCGTGGAAGAGACAAGAGAGCAAAGCGATGAGGTTTCAAGCTAGAGTAAAAAACAGGCCAGATTTTCATAAAGTATACATCAGGTTGTGCTGCGCCTTGAAAAAATATCTCTTTTTCCTTTTTCTCATTTGATTTCAAATTAAGGTTTCATGTGACAGACCAACACATTGTAGTACTAAATTAAAAGACATCAGATGGCATCTGTGTAGTATACACATTTAGTATATGGCATCCAATGATAACAATAATAATAATAATGTAATCAAATTAAACCTTGGGCAACCAGCTGTGTGTGGATGAAACCTAACACTACTACTATCAGAAAACTTGATGGCAATTTCACTCATGGATAGATTAATGGATGGATTGACTAATTTTGGATCATTAATTGATTTTACATAAAAATGAAACCAGAGATAAGTTTCAAAGTGAAATATTTTGACAGAAGGGCTCATTTATTGCTCCTTGCACATTTACCTCAAGCAGTGCTTCATTTCCGCCCCACAACCTTAATTAGACTATTTAGCATTTCTGAGATTTTCTGGTTATTCCACTTGCGTTGCTCCAAACACAGTGAAGTTCAAATGTCATAAGATAGGGGAAAATTTTTTCAAAAAGAGTGGATACTTTTGTAATATGCTACAAATTCTGCAGTAGATTTGTGTTGTTGTTGTTTTAGTTTAGAAAGCAGCTGAAAGCAAAAGGCAAGAAGTCACTGTGCCACTGAAGTACCAAAGTGCTCAAGTGACTCAGAGCCTCAGTTACTCTGAGCAGTGATTAGACCAGCATCAATACGCAACAATAGCATATTTGAGGACTCAGGGACTCATGATGACGATCTACGGTGATCACCTGGAGAAAGGGGAAGACGAAGCCCACGGTGAAATTGGAGAGCCAGTTCAGGGAGCCTCCTATGATGTAGGCTGCAGGACGATGGGACTGTTTGAACAGCTCTGCTGTGATCAGGAAGGGAACCCCAGCTGCAACACGGGAAGAAAAAAAGTGGTTCCAAAAATGGATTTACTTTCTGTGAGTCAGTATAACAACAACAAACATGTGGATTTGTTGGAAAATAATATTCTGGTCAGAACAGAAAGGTTTCATCATCATTTCATCACAACACAAATGAAATCCAGGGTTTCCCTCAGTGTATTATAAGCCTGGCGGGTCAACAGACTTTGCTTATGCCCCCACCAGGCTAAACATTGATTATTTATTTATTTGTTTGTTTGTTTTGATATGTCTGCATTTTTTTAAAGAATTTATAGTTGGTGTTCACGTATTCATCTTCCAATCTTTCAATAATTATCAAGTGATATTTTAAAATTTCTCATCAACTTTAAACATGTTTTAGCTCAAAAACACGACGGACTGCTGGGTGAATGACTGACTCAGCGCCCAACCACCAGGCTTAGCAGGTTTTCTGGGGGAAACCTTGAAATCTAAAAGTGTTTCGACTTGATGAGAGAAATCCTGTAAAGACTCGAGAGCCAGTGGTCTTATTGCGAGGGAAAGAACGTTCTGGCTTTTCATCAATCTGGTGTGAACATTTTTTTTCGGAGCTCCACAACATATGGATTGTTTCCTAAAGTGCTTTCTTCTCTTAAAGCACCCTGAACCCGTTAACACTGGCCAAACCTTTTTAATTTTCTCGGTAATCACTAAAAGTGGAGAAGATTGACTTGTTAAACACAAAATTACAGAAAAGAAAATCTGAATCATTCTTTCATGGAGAATCATTTCAGACATAATTAAACTACCCAATTTCTTTTTTTGTAGTTTGACACGTCACTTACACTTTTGCCCACTGGGAGGCGCTAAAGCGCTTAGAAATACCACTTTCTTTTTCAACCCGGCAGCAAAATTTCAAAGGAGTATTAGGGCCACACTTTACAAAACAGAAATAATAGAAGAATAATCAGACTTACAGGAATCAACTTGTTTTTATGGCAATGTCTGAGTGAAGTGTGTCAAACTTGCCTGGACCGATGCAGAAGCCAGCAATGATGCCAACCACACAACAGACGCTGACATAGCGCATGAACAGTAACTTCACCTGTGAGGAGAAGAAACAGCAATATCAAATAAAACTTTGGAAAGAAGAAAAAACTACAGGACATCATAAACAAAGACATTCTTGGCATGTTCATAACATTCTTTCTGTTCAGGCTCCGACTATGTCTGATTAAACTATTTAGTCCTGTGCTTTCCACTTGTTTAGGTTTTGGAACATAATTGAGTCAAATTAATTACAGAACCAGAAAAAGAGTCATTTACTGATGTCCAAAGTAAAATAAAAAAATGTACTGAACAATAATTTAAATCATTTTTGTTTTCCTCTACACCCGGATCATAAACTGACTATTTTTTTCCCACCAGTAAATGGTTTTACCTGTTTTTGACAAATACGCAGTTTATAAATATATAAGTAAAAAGTGAATAAGGTTGTATTGCTTGAGCAAAATGGCGCGTGGAAGTCAGAGAGGGCACGGGTGCAAAAGTGTGAATTTTTTTATATGTCGTCTCCTTGAGCTTTTCACAATACTGTCAGCGAAGGAACCTGTGGAAGCTCAAACAAAACGTCTACGTTGAGCCTCCATTTGAAACGCTGGGATCAGCACATATTTTTAACAAGTAGCATCCGTCGGATCTTTTCTCACATTTACAGTTTTCTTTACAAAGTCTATTAAAAAAGCAGGAAGGTCACTGCTGTGCAAATGCTGACAATTCAAGGGCTACTCTGTGCACACACCTGTAAAACGAGGGCCAATGTGATTCCAGCGCTGCAGATCCCCATCATGGTGAAGCCCCCAATCATGAGATGCCGCCTTCCCACCTTCTCTATAGTGAAACACTGAGAAATGCACACCATGTTATACACACTGTGAATAAACGAACACAGTCAGGGTGAATGTGATTGACTTGGACAACACTTTGGTTTTCACCGTGCTTTTAAAAAACAAATGCATGAATGGATAAACAAAATTATCTACGGCTATTACTATTGTTCTTAGAAGTAGGAGTAGAATACATAGTTTCTATCTAATCCAGTAAAGATATGTGTATATTGAGGCCTTTCTTATTTACTCAACATTAAGTCAATGAATAACACTGAAATGTACTAATATTTCAATGTACATTTCGTCATCATTTTGACAACACAGTTTGAATGTTTCATACATCTATAGGATATGTAAAACAGCACAGTCTCCCTGTTCAGTAAAATCTATCACAGCATGTCTCATCACTGAATGCTTACCCCAATGAGCCCGGCGATGATCTCTATGATTCCTGTCCCTGCTGTCGTATACTGGATCTCTGGAACTGGGATGCCGGCGTTCTTAAATATGTCGTTTGTATAGAACCAGATCTGCCGGGCGGAGACAAAAGAAACTTCAACTATGAATGCCTCGTAGCTTTTTAAAGTACGGAGCGGGTGTGACGGTTATTTCTACAATGCTGACATGATAAAGATGAAGCAACTTGTAGAGTTTATAGAGATTTGAAACAGACTCAGAATGATGTGGCGCATTGGGCGTAAAAAGACACTGAGGATAATGATTAGAGGACTGGATGCCAACGTATGTCATGTCGTTATACATATATTGATATCATAATAATATAAATTGGGAATTTGCATGATTGTTTTTTCAAATATGAGGAAAGCAATAATAGGCTTCTTGTCCTGACGGGACACAGGCTGTTGGATATGCGATGGATTCCTGGGAAAAGTGGAAGTCTCTGTCCATATACATTGAAAATGTGAACATGATTGGACTTTTGATAACAGGATGTCTTCTGTATGGATTTGGCAGTCAACCTGGCATATTGACAAATTTCATAAAATGTCAGTTGCTGTGAGAGAAGCTGTCCGGCTCATACGAGGTGCAGAGCAGCGAACGCTCAGAGAGTCGCAGTGGTTCTTCCTGAAAACTTTGGAGAAGCTACCAGCTATGCTCCGAGGGACTGGACAACAAAAAAATGGCTGTTTTGGGAATCGCCATTGAGACGTACCAGTGAGACTCCAAGGCAGATGCACAATTCACGGAGACGGGCTGACACAAGACGATCATTGTTATCTGAACTGGCTCCCCTTGTGTTTTGGCCTTGGACCGCTGGGCTATCTCAAATTCTCCTGGATGTTACGCTAACAAGATGCTCTGCTCCCACTCTCGTACCCTTCCCACGACGTCTGTGGGCTTCACCCAAAGTGCTACCAAGGCTGCTGATCCAAAGCTTCATCACTTATCAGGGATGGCTGAGGGTGCTTCTGGAGTCCATGGGTTTGCAAACACACACATCCACGCACTTCCTACAAAACACACAACCCCTCAACTCACAGCCTCCATTATATTGTCTGTAAAGGAGGAGGCCTTTTCTTGTGCAGAGGTTTTCTTGCAGCCTCCCTCTGTGTCCTTTACACTATAGTGTGAGACCTTCAGCCTCATCTTGTTCATTTCTGATCTAATTAAATTGTTGCCTTTTTGATTTTTTTTTAATGAACCATTTAATGACAATCGAAAGTTCTTGTTTGCAATTTGATCCAAATAATAATAATAAAACACACTTTATAAACAGATGGAGAAGAAACAATGGCAGACGGTCCAGTTTACACACAAAACCAAGACACTGTGTCCGTTTGGACTAATCGGTCCTGAATCTGCTTGGTTAGAATATTGTTGCATTGTTCATATTCATCCTGATCTTCTTTAATTCTTTTACAATATTTTTTTTTTGATTTTTTTTATCTTTGTTTATAATTCCACAAAGAGAAACTGGGAACATTGAACAACTTTGTAGTCTCGGGGTAACAGCTGATCCTCTTAATCCATGTGGTTTCACTAGTATTTGAGTTAAATTTCTTAAGCTACTTGGAGAGATTTTATTTTTTTAGTGAGTGTAAAAATCAATATTTTACTGTAATGTGTGACAGTTGTACTTCTACAACAACACTCCAAGAAATACCTTACATTTTGAAGTTACTGTATCGCCACATAATCTTGTCTTTTTCCAGAGATGCTAATTCTTTGACACACCAGCCTTCGACGCTTCCAACGCTTCAAGATGTTTTCTATTGCTGCTAAGCACCTTACAGATTTGCAGTGTATATAGAGTACTTACAGCATCAATCCCAGACAGCTGCATGCCAATGTTGATAACCACCACACTCAACACTTGCCACCGGACCGAATCGTCCAGCAACAGGCTCCAGACCGACAGCATTTCTACGGAGGACAGGGAGCGCTGTTCCTCCTGCATCTCTTCAATTTCGGCCTGGATGTCACACTTGGCTCTGTACCATTTCAGAGCTGAAAGGCATCAAACAAAGAGCTGTGTTTAATCGACGTGTGACAAGTCAACGCAAGGAACGTACAGAACTCACCAAACATTGGAAAAATTCCACCAGTGTATTCACTTTTTTTACTTCTGTTGATCCTTTCTACCGATTTTGGCATCATCATGTTAAAATTTGGTTGAGCGAAAAGGTGTTTTGTCTTTAGTCTTATCAGTGGTTGTAGCTCCTGTGGTACTTAATCCTTTGAATGATGTGTCTATCAATGTTTTGAGGTATAACTGAAAAAAACAACAACTTGGTAACATTTTATTTGACGTGGTGTGCACAAGACTGACACGACACTGTCATAAACATCACATCATAAAGATGCAGGAGTTTTTATGGATGTGGTGAAGTGTCAATTGTTAAATAATGACACTTTTAAAGCAAAGTTGACCATTTTAATTTACTGAAAGGCATTTCATAACAACAGTAGTAAACATTTATGAAGACCCCTTCATGTTTATAACAGTGTCATGTCAGTCCTATTCACACCCAGGCAAATAAAGTGTTTCCAAAAACAGTTGCTTACATTTTCAATGTAATAATCTGCTGTCTTTAGTGCCGCTGTTGCACACTGAACACCCTTCATACGAACGTGAAGGAAGATTTTGTGAAACATCAAATCTTTTTATTTATGTGCAGCTTTTGATGACTGTCTCAAACTGACATTTTTCCTTGTAAAGTGCCTACATCACAAGGATCACAGCTGCATGGACTTGATGATGCCTTTTCTAATTTAGTCTCTCATTGTTTCTGTCGGAATAGAAGCACTGCAGCAATACTGACCTGTAATTGTGGCGTGAACATTATTCTTCTCAATCAGCAAGTACCTCGGGCTCTCTGGGAACCACGGCAGCAGCAGCAGCTGGATGAACGTTGGTACGACCACCACCGAAAGAAAAAGAGGCCAATACTCCTCCTGAAAAAGCAGCAACTCAGAGGATCAGAGAGAGATCTGTGCAAGCACCCCCAGGAGAGCAATACTAACGTCAAAGGGAGGACATTTTGATAAGGAAATAAATATTTCGTAGTGCCATTTTTCACACTGGAATGTTATATTCTGTTTTTGAAATGGGAGAAATGCTATATAATGGAAATGGTCTAATGGTTTGGTTAAGAAGGGAGATTTCACTGAAATTATTCCACAAGGTACAGAGGAGGGAGGGGTAAGTATTTCAGTGGGGGGGATTTGGTTCACTTATTACAATGTTAGTAACGTCTGTGTTCATACAACACAAATTTATAATTTTATGCAAAACGACAACAACAAAAAAGAATGGACAGTCGAGTTAAAGGTTTTTAAAAGCTAATTAAAAAGACAAAAATATCTCAAACTGATTAACATTGGAGAGTGAGCATTACAGGAAAGGTTTGGTTTATCTTGGCGTCTGTCTGTCTGCCTGTCCGTTGTCATGTGGAAACAATTGCTGACTGTAACTCCTTGGAAAAGTTTAAGTTTCTTTCTTATCTATTAACATCCTAGACGGGCAGTTGCTCTACCTTTCCCAGGAGCTCATGGAGGCCGAGGATTTGGGCAGCAAAGACCCCGGTTCCTATAAAGATGCTCGGAACAAGACCCAGAAATCCTCTCAGGTTCTTTGGTGCTATCTCACCGAGGTACATCGGTACGACACTGAGAGAGATCCCTGCGGCGACACGAGGAGAGAAAATCCATGTTTGACTCTCACGGAGACGTGCACAACTTTTGTGCCGAGTTCAATAGGACATTGAATACAGAACATTGTTTTACTGAATGAATAAAATAACCACAAAAACAAGCATGCGTGTGCATGTGTGTGTGTGTGTGTGTGTGTGTGTGTGTGTGTGTGTGTGTGTGTGTGTGTGTGTGTGTGTGTGTGTGTGTGTGTGTGTGTGGGTGTGTGTGTGTGTTTGTGTGTGTGTGTGTGTGTGTGTGTGTACAGATACCTGAATGTATCCCTGTGATGAAGCGGCCAATGATGACCATTTCAGGTGAACCACAAATCCTACTGAAGCCCATGAGGGAGCCCGCCATAAACACCAGCACTGTTGTGTTGACCACTGTACCCTTCCTGAAAATGAAACCGGAAACATAAACATGTATAAATATGAATATTCACTCACCAGCCCAAATGTGGCTATTACACACAGCGATCTCCTTAGTTTTTTTTACTTATTTATTACTAACCTGGTAGAAGTATAAAATCACTCACATGAACAAGAAATGCAAAGGACACATATTTTTGTCCCACATTAATCTTAACACGCTCAGAAAGGAGAAGGAAGAAGTAAGAAATTTATGAACTCATACAATATGTTCACATGGACCCTCCATTATTAATTAATAAATATAAAAAGACATAGGTTAATTTATTTTCCATTTTATCTGGGTTTACACATTAGTGCTAACTCTCACCCATATTTCCTTTTAAACTGTAATAAATTTTGACTTTGTTTTAACTTCTCATTTTCATAATTTTACCCCGAGTTGAAATACGAAAGCTCTAAGAATCCTTAAGTCTTAGTGACTCCTTGAGTTAAATCCCCCTTCTCCTTCAAAAAAACACTTCCTGTATGAGCTCAGGTAGCAGTTTGGCTGATGCCTTAGACATAATTTCATCAGTTTTAAATCCCACCAGATCTTCAAATTTAAGAATCCTAGATTTTAAGAGTAACTGGTTTGTGTGTTCATAAAAACTGACAGTATGGATGATTCCTTGGTCATTTTCAAGAAGAAAAAAGTTTGAAATGATTAGATCTATGAGCACTATCCTGCTGGAATCAATCACTATGATCATAAAGAAATAGACTATGGAAGAATTTTCCTGCCATAATCCAAGTGCAACAGCCTGGCTATCTGTCTAGGGTGACCCCACCTCTTGCCCGGAACGTAGCTGGAAAGGCATCAGCACCTTCCGACCCACTAGGGACAAGGGTGTAAGAAAATGGATGGATGGATGGATGGATGGATGGATGGATGGATGGATGGATGGATGGATGGATGGATGGATGGATGGATGGATGGATGGATGGATGGGATGGATGGGATGGATGGATGGATGGATGGATGGATGGATGGATGGATGGATGGATGGATGGATAACCCAAGAGCACACATTTTCATTTAGACAGCAGGATTTCCTGTCTTTCTTCTCAAAACTTGTAATGTCTGTATTCAAACCTTTGTCTTTGCACTCTTGCAGAACTCTCTGCTTTTGGAACAAAAATGCACCATCGCCTGGCAAGTGTTGAACTGGGTACAGAATGGAAATGTGTGCTCTCGAAATATGGCAGAAAATTTCCCCCATAGGGGAATTTCAATATTTGCTCCATAGGAAACAAATCTTACCTGCCAAAGCGAGAAACCAGCATACCGACAATGAGGGAGCCCAGCAGACCTCCGATAGCAAAGACGGACACAGTGAGAGAGTATATGAGCGTCAGGGTCTCCCCACTGAGTCCTGTCCCATTACGACTCAAAACAGTTTTGTTGTAGAAACTCTTTATGTACTGGAAGAGCAAAGTGGCAGTAAAGTTAGTGATCAAAATAAAATGACACATTAAAAAAAGACATTGAAAGTTTTGGACTTCACGACAAACAGATAACAGTTGAAAAGGAAATCTTGTAGTTGCAATGTTGCAAAATCACAAGCAGAAAAGATCCAGGCGGTTTGTTGTCAACTTTTTAATGTCTAATATTTTTCTTGCTTTTAGATCTATCTATCTATCTATCTATCTATCTATCTATCTATCTATCTATCTATCTATCTATCTATCTATCTATCTATCTATCTATCTATCTATCTATCTATCTATCTATCTATCTATCTATCTATCTATCTATCTATCTGTTGGCGGATTTAGCTGGCATAATTCTTCTGACAGGTACATTCTGAATGTGAGTGTGCTTTCTGTGAGATGTGTGTGTGTGTGTGTGTGTGTGTGTGTGTGTGTGTGTGCGTGCGTGCGTGCGTGCGAGTGTGTGTGTGTGTGTGTGTGTGTGTGTGTGTGTGTGTGTGTGTGTGTGTGTGTGTGTGTGTGTGTGTGTGTGTGTGTGTGTGTGTGTGTCTTACTGCAGCAGGGGAGTTGACCACAGCCAGGTTGTAGCCGTACAACATAGAGCTCCCAAATGAAGTCAGGAATGCCACTGCTAGCAGAGAACCAGTCAGCTGCTGCAATCAGAAGCAGATACAGCTGTTCAAGAGAACTGCATCCATAAATGGTGGGAACAGTAATTGTTTGGTTCTGATAGTGTCCAATGTCCACAATGTACATACAAAATTTTGACAGAACATCAGGAAATTCTCCAAAGAATGATTCGTGGTAAAATCAAGAAAACAGCAACAGCAGTCTATGTTTCTGCAAGAGTTGCTTTGTTTTTTTCAATTTTGTTGCGCTTTATTCATGCACAATGACATTAAAAGGAATTGTGATTCTGACTCTTACAGTAATAGACTTCCTCTGAATGGTTGACAACGATAATTTCACTTTGGGCTTAATAAGGTAGGATCAAATTAAATCCATCCATTGTCCACACCCAGACAGGTTGGTCAATGACCCCAGCGGTCATTGGGTGAGAGGCGGGGTACACCAGTCCACCAGAGACACATAAGATATGGACTCACACACACGCTCTCACAGTCTGCTTATTGAGTTGTTGGAGGAAGCCAGAGTGCAAGAAGGGAGACCACACATGCACAAGGAGAACACATAAACTCCATACAGAAAACCCCCGAGATCAGGTATGGATGTGACATTGAGCAGCCACAGAAGGCAACAGCAAATTTCCTTTCCCCACTGATGGAGGTGTAATCAGAATAAAATCCTTTGAGATTCCAATTAGTGGGACTTATTGAAAACACACTGCATGTTTGGTTTATTTAGAGGATAATGATTGAATAGTCACAATTTGAGGAATTTCATCAGAAAGTGGTTTGATGAGGATGGACAATTAGGGAAACACAAGACAGTTGAAACCAATCAGGGACTTGACAGGACAACACAACACAGTTAACCAATAAACATTAACCAATAAATCCACACAAAACCAACATCCACACAGATTTGTCCAATAAAAGTTTATTCATTGGGAAAGATGGAGATGAAGGTGGCTCTCATTTCAAACTCTTTTTGTTTGTATGACCTCAAGTCACACAGTTCACAGCACACTGGAGAAGCTGAGACGTGAATGACCAGTAAAAAATGAAACCTAAGTGTCCCGTCCGCCAGGACCAGTTGATATCGCTTTACAGCACAAAGTCCTTCTTCCTGTTAACTTGAGAGGGGTTCCCTGGGCAAGATCCAGAACAACAAGCTGCTCCCTGATCCGTGTTTGGCCCTTCTGTATTTTTCAAAGCATACTGAGGGATCAGTGACGAGAAAGGAAAGAGGGATCATTTTGTGCAAGTGGACAGTTTGCTGATAACTTGAAGGAGAGATGGCACCACTTTGAAGGAAGTTTGTCTTGCCTGTATGTATCGATCACATTCGTGACTGCAAACAACCCATTTCATTTGTTTGGCTGGCAGCCAGCTCAAAGGAGGCCAGAGGGGCAACCACTAAATATTATTCATGCAACACTCCAATGACCAAATCTCTCGCCTAATGTATTCTCTGTGCTCTACGTGTTTTGGACTGAGTTTATTTCCTGCATTCATATATTTTTGACAGCCAAGCACTTTTTTTTTTTTAACGGCACAAGCCGGCAGGCACAACAGAGATTGAAGTTGTTTTAGAGGGTGTCTAAAACGACATCAGAAAACTGTCTATGAATACTGAACTTACCGAAGTGATTTTCCCCGATGATGGAATTAAAATCTCCTCAGCCATTTAGGAGTTCTGGTATCTGGTCCAAAGCAACAAAAAGTAAAAAAAAAAAAAAAAAAAAAAAAAAAGAAAGGAAATAAATTAATTAAAAAATAATGCAGATCCTGTCTAAACAGCGAAGTCTGTCATAACTGTAATACCACTGGCTCCAAATGAACAAATCTTGGATGTTGTAAATGTGCAAGTGTGCAGAGCAGCAGTCCACAGGCCACTAATAACAAGCTACCACAGTGTCATCACATGATAGGAAGCAGCGTGACAGACAGAGAGAAAAGCCTGCTGAGAGCAATTAGCCATAACAAAATTTTAGAGGTTAGGGGAAACAAAATGAACAGAGTGTACGAATAAGTGAAAAAAAAAAAAGCAAGGAAGAAAGTAAGAACTGAAAAGTGAATAAATCAATCTGCGAAGCCGGAGCTGGAGTAAGACGAGGAGACAAAGCAGGGGAGCGGGAAAATAAAAGTGAAATGAAGGACAGCCGAGAGCCGAGAGGGAGAGAAAAACCAGACAAGCAGAAGAGGCGAGAGGAGGAGAGTCTGAAGAGAGAGACGTCTGAAGGATGAAGACAGAAACAAAGAAACAAGAACGGAGCAACAGGGAAGAGATTAGAAGAGATTAGTACTGAACCAAAAGCGGACCTCACCGAGTTCACTGTAAAATAAACAGTGTTGGGTCAACAGAACTAGTGAACATGCAGTCCCACCCTGAACAAAGCTGAAGTTTTCAGAGTCAATTTTACTCCATAGTGGCTTATAGAATAAGACTTGAGTAACACAATTGTTAAAATACTTTTACTCTCTGAAGATAAGCAACACTTGTAGTGTTACTAAATTATGACACTGTTAGTTTTAAAGAGTTATTCTGATTGTTATCCAATAGTGTAAGACGACAAGCTACTGGATTGTAGCTACGGCAGTCTGAGAGACCAGGCTGCCATTTTCTGACCATCACTACCAGCAAGATGGGAGAATTGAACCGGCAAATCACCGACTGCAGGGCGAACTCCAAATAACATGCTATTTCTGCACTAAACTTGTTATTTCAGTCAAGTCAGTGTGATTTGGCAGATTTTTTTCTGAAATTGACAACATTTATTTTCATTCATTCTTCTTCTTATCATCATTATTAATATTAATATTATTATAGAAGGGTTTATACAGAAGATTAGTGTATGGATATAATTTTATATGATCCTATTAAACGCCATCTGATAGTTTTCATAGCTGTAGACTTTGTTTGGACATTGAATATTTAGCACTATTGGGAAGTCCCAAAGATCATATGGCTCTCAAATTCAAGTTTGATCTGATTAAATATCTTCTTGCTATTTCTGAACGTCATGGTTTCTGGCGGCACACGGTGAGATCCATTTGAATCAGCTTTGCCGTCACCCCTCTCTGGTCATGTGCTCATAATTTTGGCTGCAGTTGGCAGCGCAGTGAGTGTTTCCTACGGGTTGCAACCAGCCGCCCAGCATTAAGCACTTCCTAATCCTATGACTTACCTCCACTGATTACGCATGAAAGACTGGGTTTGTTCATTAAAGCCTATTTTTCTGTGCTAACGATATCCTCACTTATTATACACCAGGATTTTTTTGTGCATTTCACCAACTATGTTAACAACTATGGTCATTAAGCCAGGACATCCTGTGGGTGTGGCTGTTCAAAGACAAGTGTGACCGGAAACAACGTAGAAAAACAAGTGTGACATAGGCTGCCACTCCACCTCCGTCACAAAACAAGAGCACATAACAGAAATGAACTTAAATCTATTCATGAACTGGATGCATTTAGATAGAAAATAAAAAGCACACACCTGTCCCGCAAGACAGCGTGACAAAAAGGGAGGGGCTAAGGGATGCAAATGGTTGAAGGACAATACCACAGAAGAAGAAATAAAATGAAGGGGCTTCCGCAGTTAAAACAATGACAAAGATTTTCAGTCAGGTAGGGAACAATGCAAAAAAGGAAAAAAAAAAGACATTTTGTGTAATTATCACAAAAGAGAAGTATAACAAGCAAACAATCAATACTTGTAGTCTGTGCTTATCACTAGTGGGGTGACCAGTGGCGCTGGTTGCTTCAACAGGCAACAAGTATGAACACCAACGTAAAGTTAGAAAAATTTTCTGCTAGAAATGAAAGAATGGTTCTTCCAGAAGAAAAATGCATTCCCAAAATATAATGGCCAGCAGAATTTTAAAAAAAAGGGATAACCACTGCAGTGAGACGTGCCCTCGTTTAGAGAGGTCATTCAGAGAGGTCATCCTCTTTAAATAGTCGTTTTGAAGCTGTGACATTAGTTTTAAAAGCACTTTCTCGTGAAGTTGTCCTGCAGAAGGGTGTGCTGACGTTAGATCTTGGAGGCCCCCTAGTGGTCAAACTCACAGAAGGCTTTAGAAGTACAAAGATAATCATTTAGATTTGCATTTAAAAAGTCATCTTAGTTATTTCACTAGTATATAAAATAACTGTGATAATAATTTTTAGTATATTTTACTAAAATCATATATTGTCAATTGCGATTTAAATAATGTTTTAGACACTTTGTTTCTAAACCACATGTGTCAAACTCAAGGCCTGGGGGCCAAATCTGGCCCACCACAGCTCTTTCTGTGGCCCTCCAGACTCCAAATGATGTCACTAAATCCCTCCTGTTTTTCACAACCCCACAAAATTCAAACAAAATCAACAGATCCTCACATTTTTTCTGACTTGAATGTCATTTTTTTTTCTGAAAATTGGTCAGAAACATTGGATTTAAGTCACTGCTGCCTCAGTCATGTCAAGTTATAGTCCATGATTGATACGCCAATTGATAAAAGAAAAGAAAAAAGAAAAATTGCATTTAACATCATACAATAGCGCGAACATTGCAAAAATTCCTTACAAAATATTTCTAAAGCAGCACCACAAAATCTGTAATTTTGATTGCAAAATCACAGATTTTGCAATCAATAAATAATAAAATCCTGTGACTGTTTCATTTTTCAGAAAAAAAATGTATTGAATGCTGAAACAAGCATCTATTTATTGATATTCTATCAGTTTAGTGAGTTTTACCAATACATTCTGGCACAACCGGCCCTTTAAGAACATTGACATTTTTGATAGGGTCCAAAATGAAAATGAGTTTGACTCCCCTTCCCTAAACTCTGCCTCCATAATCTCCTGGTTCCACTAGCTGCAGCTTCTCCCAGAGGGAAGCAGCACAATAGTTTAAGGGAGGAGCTTGAAGATGGATTAGCCAGTGTCATCCATGCTGTCATTACCAATGAGAAGCCAGGCAGGAAATGGATGACTCTCATTTGTTCCCATTATGTAGCCAATAGCCATAATGTTCACACAGACACACAATCTGCGAGCTGTCATCACCGTGAACCATTTCCATTACGCTGGGAGAGTGTCTGTGTGGTGTGTGCGTGGGTGTGTGTGTGAGTGTGTGTGTGTGGGTGTGTGTGTGCGTGAAGTAATCACAAAGCTTCACAAGGGTTTCACAGTATTCCTGCAGTTTTTAGATAATGACTAAGAGCTAATAAGCATGTTCTAATAACAGGCATGTTAGTAAAGGCTTAGAATATTATCATCAGAACATATCATTATTAACCTGTTATCTACAGAGTGAATTCAGGCATGGTAATCATAACACAGATTGTTTTAGAGGATCAGGGCCGATCCTAGCTTCCTGTCTTCCCTCCTCGAAGATGTCAAAGGGCGGTGAGCGGTTAGGGGTGGCTGTGTTGCTTTTAGGGGTGAATCTATGTCTGTGCCTTCCAGGCAACACAGGTCGGGTTCTTTTCAAATGTGACACCAGGCCACTTGGGTGTCCGATACGTATCCGATTCAAACGCGTCCAGGTCTCATTCATCTGACCTGAACGTCACCGACACGCAACAATCGCCACCATTCTGCATCCTGAAGAAAAGCAACAAAGATGGTTGACTATAATGAGGATTAAGTAGTTGATATGTTGCTCTGGTCGGACAACAACTTCAAAATTGTGAGCTGTGCTCCACCGTTAGCGTCCATGTTGACTTCTGCAAACGCTGAGCACTTCTTCTTTTCATCATCTGTGTTTCTTACATACAAATGATGTTATCTTTGCTGTGGATTAAAATTTCTGAATCTTCTGCTTATGATAATTTATGCACAGATTATGAAGGTCCTTCCAATTTTGTCTCATCCAGAACCGGATTCATTAACGTAATTAATAAACTCTTTGAAAAAGAAAAAAAAAAAGTTTGCTGTTGCAAGTTCAAAAGACAGTAATTGTCGCTTTGCTCCTAAGTGGCAAAGTTTGGTGCCTGACAGTGAAAGTGTGTGTGGTAATTATAGTGTCAGTGAAATCAAAACAGCAGCAGGAGGCTGATGGACCTCTTACCTTCATCTCTACTTCCCAGCCAGCGCTGACATACCTCACCACACAAGCACACAGGTGAGAAATCAAGTGTGAAGAATCTGTGATGGCTGTTGCTTAAGTGACACAAAGCCTTCGTACGTCACGCCATCACATCCTCACTCGTACTGTATGAAGAGTTGAAAGTTTTTTTTCTTTTTTTCTCTTTTTGTATCAAATTAAAAACAGATGCAGACTCACATGGGCTACAGCAGCAGCACGGGGCGACATACCAGGAGAGGCCCAATCAAAACCGAGGGACAGTCAGCAAAGAAGTCGTCATCATCCTAATGGTCAGTTGTTGTGATGCTCTGTCTCTGGTCCATTTGCCTCTGTGGTCAGATTCAATTTCAGCCGGTATGCCTGTGCCGCTCTTCCATTAGCTGACAGACATATCTCACTCCTACAGGCTTTGGGGGTCCTGCCAAATTTTAAGGCCAATTGACTTTTAATATGAATCACGGTGGGACGCCACGGACTCATCCCATCACAGGAAATTAACACCCTGAAGCACACACACTGTTGTAAGTAGTCACTTGTGATGTGCCACACACACACACACACACACACACACACACACACACACACACACACACACACACACACACACACACACACACACACACACACACACACACACACACACACCCACACACACACACACACACACACACACCACAAACGCTCAACAATTGTTGTGTGTAGTGTGTTTAGTATTATAGCTTCATACAAAATACAAGACAGCCTACTTGTTTTCATCTCTTTTAACTGTGAATGATTAACAGGCAAAAGAAAAGTTGCTCATCCAGCTGCATGTCTGAAAATGTTTTTCTCAAAATGATTATGAACGTATGAAGCTGCAAAATTCAATATTTACCTTCTTTGGTTAGACTTTAACCTTTCTTCATGTTTCTTGTTTTTAAAGGTTTTTGTTTTAGAAACCTCAACATTTTTATAGTTTTCTCTCTTGAGTTTGTTCCTTTTGTCATTTTGTTACCAGTGGATCCATGTCCGTCTGAGTTCTGATGGTGTTGAGGAGATTCACCTTGGTGGACTTAGGATTATAGTTACAATAGTTTGTATTATACGTTAGTTTTATTTGTGACTTTTTTATGGTAGTTTCAATTATTTTTTACAGTGTCTATTTTTTTGGGTTTGTTTTAGTTTAGTTTTTATTAGCTGTAGTGGTTTTAGTTTTCTCATACTTTGGTCAATTTTACTTCTCGGAATTGAAAAAGGTCAAAGTTTTGTATTGTGATTATGTATAAAATTGACTTGGTGATGCCTGCTCAACTGAAGATACCAAATCAGTTTCACATCTGTTTGAAAGGTTGATAGATAGATTCATAAGCCCAAAAACTGAGTATATCTATGATTTCGGCGTGTTTAGCTAGTTTGGTAAACGCATGATATTGTTCCAGCTTTATTTTCCTATTAATTCCTATTAATTTCCTATTTATTCATTAATGAAAAGGGTTTCTCAATTTCAGTTTTTTGTTATTTTGTAACATTTAATTAAGCACAACTCAGGATAACTATAGCCTGATTAGCACCACATCATCTGCTGTTTGCAGACAACGTGATTTCATGAGAAAGGTTTTCATTAAAATAGTTGTTTTCAGCAGCACATTTCACTCTGTCCCTCTCAATAAAGATCAACAATTACTGTAAGAAGATTATGCATCCTTTTCAGATTATCTCTCAAATGCTAAAATTAGTCCTTAAAATTTTAATCTTTTGAATGGCAAAATAAGGATGCAGTTTAGGACGCAGAATCAAATTAACCACAACTGACTGAGGGGGGGAAAAAATCATCTGAGTCATTTTAACCAAGAAAAGACAAGAAAATAAACAACAAAAACAAACAAGTGAGGCATCCCGTCTAACACCAAAACCTTTAGTGGAACAAGAGTTTAATATGCACAATGTTAGAGTCTATAATAATCAGGTCCTCACCTTTCAGTCCCTGAGGAAGAAGTATCACATTTTCTCATCAAAGTGACTATTAGTCACAGTACGCAGCTGGGCAGCAGGGGTGAGGGCAGCGCTGCGCCACCAACACGGCTTTATCGAACATGTCGGCCTTTCGTCATTAATCACTGGGAACAAATGAATCACTTTCGTCATGCTCTGGGGCCCGGGACGACCGCCGCCTGCTCAGTGGGATCATGTTGACGCTTGCTCTCTAACACGATACTCAACTTCCACACGTGGGAAGTTCTTAGGACTTTACAACATCTGTTTCTGATAAATGCTTCTTTGGTCTCATTTGGCCAAAAAAAAAAAAAAAATGTTCTAGAAAATCTTGTGGTTTGTTGAAACGCAGCTTTGTTGTGCTGATCCTGTTCACATTTCCAAACATCTCCAAACAAGCCAGAGCAACGACAGCCATGATTTTAATCTCCGGTAACACATTTTCTCTCTCTCTGTCTGTTTTTCTCTATCTCTCAATGCATAATCTGATTTCCCTGCAGCGTTTTGGTGGCCAGGAACTGAGTAAACATGGAGCGTAATTCTCTCTCATGCTCGATGGAGAGGAGAACGTCTACGTCATCAGGCAGGTTGACTGATGACCAATGAGCTGAAGTCATTCTTCCTAATTGGTCTCCTGCGATCACACCGTCACTCTGTGAAACACCACCTTCCACCTCTCTCTCTCTCCTTCTGAGTGCACACACACACACACACACACACACACACACACAGGATGGGGAGGGACTGATCCACACACCATAAGTTGGGTCAGACTGGCTTCTGTCAGCACATCACCGCCCACCAGTCGGGTTCCAGTCGTGTCCACTGAGAAGCGTGGCTCCTTGACCATCATGCTGCTGCAGAATCGACTCTCTGGGCAGTGGGCTATCTCTTCCCAAACCCCACGGCTCTGAAGTTACCTCCGTTCAGGTGGAAGAGCTCGAACTGCCATGACCTCTAAGGTCGAGTCGAAATGCTCTGAGGTGCTGGGGAAGAGGAGACCCAGTCCAGCGGGCCAGCTCCCACCGCCGGCCACCGCCAGCAAGCCGCTGACGCCCTTCGGCATCGAGGACATCCTCAGCAAGCCGTGTGCGAAGAGGAGCCGGCCGCTCCCGTCGTCTCGGCGGGAGAGCGGCCCGTCCGACCGGCCGCCGCCGGGCCTGAGCTCCCCGCTGTGCGCGCTGGAGGAGCTGGCCAGCAAAACCTTCCGGGGCATGGAGGTCAGCGTTCTGCAGGCTGCAGAGGGTAATCCCTGCTCTGCTATTTGTTTCTGCCAACTGTTTTCTCTGGGACAAGAATTTCTACAAGTATTTGGTCAGAATAATTCAACTTCTGAGGTGGAAAATAGTCTTATGTGTTTTATTATGTTCAAACATGTCAACAGTTTGCCTTTCAGTCAACATTTTTTATATAAATATGTATGTAGTTGATAGACATCCACTTTTTGACTGCCCATCTCTATATGTTCAGATTTCTGTCTTGCAGAGTCTAAAAGGTTTTAATGCCAAGCTTTCTTATAGAATATGGACATTTATAGCAATATGTACTTGTATAATAATTAAAACCCACAAACAACAGAAGCATATAGCAATCCAGCATAAGAACATCCACTTCTATACATAAGAGAATTAGACATTCTGATTGTTAAATTATTACCCAGGAATACTCATGTTTTTTAATTATATTTTTACAGTGATATTTACAAAAACATGGAGACCTGTGACTCGTCATTTTATATTAACAACTTTTCATTACCATGTGGCATTTTTATCCTTCATGCTCATAGAAACGGCAGCAGCATTGATGCCGGTAACACGCATTGCTGTCGACTGCCGGAGGACGTGGGAAACAAAAGGCTTATGATGAAGTTCAACCTAACAACCTCAACGTTTGCTTTGCAGATGAGCTTCAAGTTAAAAACGGTTGTTCTATTACTAAAATACAATTTTTAAAAAGCGTAAGAAATACTGCTTGAGATACAGACCTTCAGTGAGGTTCTGCTGTGGAAGTTCAACACAATCAGTCCATGAAAAACAGAAAAGAAAATCAAAGAAACAAAAGCTGCTGAAGCCTTCATTAGTTGTTATTTATTTAAAAATATCAGTAGGTTCTTTAGTGACTTTATGTAAAGTTATCTGAGAATTTAAGATGATTCAGTTTAAAACTAACCGAACATTTCAGCATACAAATTTTAACTCTACAAGTTTACAGTAAAACAAAAATACTTATTATTATTATGACTATTAATGCTTTTATTTGTATTTTTTGTGTATAGATTTTGAATTGCATCAACAAGTCTGTTCCATTTAAATCAAATTAGATACTTATTATCAGTCAAATTAATACTGTCAAGGCTTTTATCAGCGTGACCCCCTACAGACCGAGTCATTGTCCCGGTTCCGTTGCCTCTGGACTGATCTGGACCCGGTCTTTCTCGTCCTCTCAGGCCGGGTCGGTCAGGGCCTTTTCGGACAGAGGAACGCGCCTAAGAAGCGCCGAAAGTCCCGGACGGCCTTCACCAACCACCAGATCTACGAGCTGGAGCAGCGCTTCCTGTACCAGAAGTATCTGAGTCCGGCGGACCGGGACCAGCTGGCCCGGCGCCTGAGCCTGACCAACGCGCAGGTCATCACCTGGTTCCAGAACAGGCGGGCCAAGCTCAAGCGGGACCTGGAGGAGATGAAGGCCGACGTGCAGTCCGCCAGAGCCGCCGGAGCCGCCGGAGCCGCGGCCCTCCAGAAGCTCTCCAAGCTGGCGGAGCTGGAGACGCGCGCGGCGGGGAGTCTGGGCCTGGTGGCGCGCTCTGCGCCGAACCGGGCCGGAGGACCGGAGCGGAGGCTCGGCAGGACTGAGGGAGATCTCAGCAGGCCGCATGCGGCTCCAACTCTCCCTTCCCCCAAGCAGCCGCGGGACAGAGACGCACCGATCAGCAGGTACGGTTCGGAGGATGATGAAGAAGAGGAGGAGGAGGAGGGGGAGGAAGAGGAAGAGGAGATCGATGTGGGTGACTGAAGCATCCCACGTAGCGTGGAGTGACTGTTTTCCTACTTTAATTCAGTCGCACTAGTGAACATGGTTGAGTGAATATGAAGGTATTTTTTTGGTGCCAAAGTGGCCTGGAACTGAGAAGTTTGAAATAAAGATCTTATTAGAGCAATGCAACTGTAGATTTTATTTTTTTAGTACAAAACAACCATTACACCTCTTCAGATTCAAATCCTTAAAAGATACAAATTGTATTTATTCATTTTCTGTTTTTTCATTTATTTATTTATTTATGTTTTGTGAGCCACACAAATTGGCCCGAATGGCGTAAAACAAATCCACATCCCCGTGTCAGAAAAGCAAAACGAGAACATTTGTTTTAATCACTCAGACATGAAACCTCTGCACTGAACAGATTCCTCCACACGATTCAGTTCTACGGGTCACAAAATTACAAAACTCAGAACCATTCAGAGTTTTGTGTTTCACAACATCAGGATGAATTTGAAAAGTCCATCCATGCACCAAACTAATAAATTAATACATTTAAGAAGACGGAATGGTATTATGCAGCCTATTGAATTGCCCATTTTGCAAAACAAAACAAAACGAAAAACATTCTGTGAACAAAAGCCTGCATAAGAAAGTAAGATTCAAAAGACAAAACTGGGTTAGAGAAGACAGGAAGACGAGACGGTCATCAGGCTGGGATTCGAACCTGCATTGTCCGTGTCGAGGACTTAGGCCTGCGTCATGACGTCGGACGTAATTGTTTCAAGTAAAGTCAAAGCAAAAAAATCCATTTAAATGTAAAAAAATTAACTTTTAAGTTAATTCAACACACAAAAAAAGTAAGTCGTCATCATCATTAAACCGAAAGAATTAAGTAAAATTACTGTAAATATTCCATAACATGAACAACATAGCAGTAGTTTTGTTTCTGAGTGATAAATATTCACAAGTTGGTGTTTACTTTTTTGTTGTTTGTTTGTTTTGTTTTTTTGCTGACACAAATATGCAGATTTGTTGTGCACTACTTGTTTTGGATCATTTGAGCAATAAGTCACAACAAGTCATTCTTTGAGTCACCTCAGTGACTTAAGGATCCAAAGAGGCTTGAAACATCTACGACTATCATTTTTCTCATCACATTCTAAACCAAGCCAGATCTCTTTTATTCGAAGTGTCACTCATTGGTCAGCCTAGTTTTAAACGAGTCATTAATATGCGCAATCTGCAGCTACGCAATGCATGTCTCGGTAAGATGACGCACACGTGAACACGGTCGGCCTGCAGTGACTTGGATCGGAGACCATGTGGTTCCAGTGTTGTTGTCTTCAGCTGTGAGCCACTTTGATGGATTAACTGAACCCGTCTATTGAACAATTAGAGCCTGTTTGTGGACACGCTCCCCGGGGCCATGAATATTAATGTGCCTCAGCGGGTCGCTGCTTTTTGTCTGGGTTAAAGCTTCCCGGTATCAGCCAGTACAAGACTTTCAACCATTTGCGCCATTTTCCAAAGGAACGGTAGACTGCAGCCACGGCCACAATGAACTGGTGAACGGTGTGCCAAAAGACCCAGTGTAGTGAGTTTAAATCAAATAAAACATTTTTAAAAAGCAATTAATATTTCATGCATTGTGTACAATAATTGGTCAAATTATTGTACTGTTTAAAATGAAATACTCTTAACTTTAAATGAAATCTATCAAGTGGATCCTAGCATCCGATTGGCTACAACCAGAGCAAGTCAACATCACACCAATTAATGTGAACAGAGCCCTGACTTCTAACTCAGAGTAATAGAGACTGAAAAACTAGATTTATGAATCACACAAATATTCTTTTTTCTTTTTTTTCTTTTTTTGCATCCATGCAGAACCCTGCAGGCAGGTAGATAGAAACTGGTGTCTGAACTGTTGACCAAATTTCTCATTTACAGTCTTACGTGTGGCTGTGCAAAAGTCATAAGAAAGTAGTATTAAAATTAAAAACTGCTTTCTGAAAATCAATACATAGACTTTATACACACATACACACATTTTTCTTTTACCCTTGACAAAGTGAATCACTGATTCAATCTTGTACTTATTATTTTTGGACACTTTGGACCTCTGTATTCCATAATATGATGTTGTTTCATTACTGTAAGAGAGTCACCACACCTATTCTCTCTGCATTAACGTTTGCTGCTTACACTGTGATATTGACAAATATGTCTCAAAATGCTGTTACATATACAATAATGTATTGTGTTTTTACTGTGGATCTTCCCACAATCATGTTCCTTCACTATATTCAATGGAGATGACATGATTCATTCCTTCCTCGTCTGGCGGACGGTGAATTGTCTTCGTCAGTCTGCCACAGCAGAAGGCTGCACAGCAAACGACCAAACGCAGCTTCACACTCAGAGAAGAAATATGATTTCACTCAACTGGAAAATTGAAGTTTAATGCACACACCCCCACCCCGCTTGAACAATCAGACCTAACAGCGACCCCCGCCCCCACCCACCTCCCTTCATTTCCTCCTGCTGGACCCGGCTGCTGCCATGTGGGACCTTTCCAAACAACCAACGCTACAAAGTGTGAGGACCTGCTATAATCAGGCCTGCTGGACTAAACTCAGACTACGCTGGTTTTCTGTTACCGATCCGGTTTCTTATGAAAATTTCACTTGTGTCCATATTTTGTGTCTTTTAAAATGATTCCTTTCTACTCTAAGAATGTATAATAATCTTTTTTTTTTTTTTAAAGTCAAGCTGATGGAAGCTTGCGTTGAATATGCATGAATGGGTAAATGATTAAAAGCAGTGTGAAGCGCTTGGGGTCCGACAGACAGACTCTTCTCCAACAAGGGACACCACTAGAGGGCCCCTCTAGGCAAGATAAGGCAACTTTATTTATGTAGCACTTTTCAACCAAAGACAATTCAAAGTGCTTGTACAAGAAAGTTCAAAACAATATACAACAAGAAGATAGTAATAAAAAAAAATCAAGCAGATTAAGAATAGACACAGTAAACTTTAAACAATTGAAATATAGTGAATGAATAGATTTAAAAATGTAAGAATAGGTAACTTCAAATAAGAAGATTTTTAAACTTGTTTTAAGTCTTACACTATTCCAGAGTGTTGGAGCATAAAAAATAAAGGCTGCTTCACCATGTTTAGTTCTGACTGTCGGAATAGTTAGTAGGTTTGATTCTGATGATCTTAAAGATCTGAGTGGTGTGTAGGGTTGAAGAAGACCAGAAATGCAGTCTGGGTTTCTATTATGAAGTGCTTTGTGAACTATTACGGCGATTTAAAATTCTATTGAATTTTGAGATTCCACTTGAATCCAAAAATTTTTGCTGGTGGCCAATTTTGGGTGATGTTTGGTGAGTTTTTGGATATGTTGAGGCCTCCAAAAAGCTGTCAGAAAAATAATAAGCAATCCTTCTTATACAACAGACCTTAGCAGCACTTCACTACTCAGGCCTAATAATAGTTATTTATACTACTGCCATTTTCATGCCTTGATTGAGTTAATTTATCAGCAGGCAGATGATAGCTAATCATCTTTACATGCAGAACAAAGCTGTTACTAGATTGCGTTGCACAAATCCTGTCCTGTGTAAGGATATGCTAAACTGTAAGAAACTGTAATGTGTTAAGCAGCCATCTTGGCTTCATGGTTGTATTTGCTACAGCAGAGCTGAAGAAATGAGCTGTCTGTGCTACAGGGCACAGCTTGATTGATCACTAAATAGGGTTGATTTGAAATTTTAGTTATTAAATTCCTTTAAAGCCCCCTTAACACCACAAGCTTCAATTTTATGGGTTATTGAGCTGAGCATGTCCCTGGTAAAAATTGATGTGTGTGTTAATTTACTTTTCACTGGTAATTAATTGGTATTCACAAGTAGGAGTATCCATGACTCAGCTCCCTCCCTCCCCTTCTCAATTTGCACATTAATCAAATTCCAGTTGATAATTTTGATAAAGAAATGGATCTAGCAGCGCTGGAAACCATAATTCACTCATACTGAGAGACATTTTTTTCCTACATCTGTCTCGGGGCCTGAGCTCCTTGGCTGCTAAGATGCCTGCCGAGCAAATTAAAGACTCAGAAGCGGATGAGATCGGCTGGCTATTGGCTGAAAACAAAAATCGTGTGCCTGCCACAATGTTTTTGTGCTGATCATCCTCTTCTTATTGTGGCAGAACTTTTAGATTTACAGACCCTCTGCAGAGGGCCGGCTTGTGTATGCATACTCGCATATTGCAATTTGAGGACAACTTTCACAGCATTTTGCCAAGACAGAGAGGTCATTTGTTTAAAGTGACTTTTACCAGTCCTCACAATTTTGCAGTTTTACTATGATTTAGAGGTATGGGATGAACTACGTTTTAGTTAAGGTTTGGGTTAAGAATAGACTAGCAAGCGTTGGGTTAGGGGCAATGTCTGGGTTAGGCAAAAAATGCCAAAACTAAAATTAATGGACTCAAAACAAAGCACAGAAGTACAAAGATGTGTGTGTATATGTGTTTGTGTGTGTGTGTGTGGGTGTGCATGTGCGTGTGTGTGTGTGTGCATGAGAAAAGGATGAGAAGGAGAGAAACAAACTCCTCAGATCTGTGAGGGTTGTCTGCCCATCATGTTGCAGTCCACCAAGCCATCCTCACTTGTTGTTCTATTGACATCTTGTGGTGGATTCTATGTACTGCATCCTTAAATACACCTTTCACACTATGACAGAAGTTGTGTACAGCTGTTGTCGTCACTGAGAATCAGAGCGGGCCCCAGCCTGTTTGCTGCTGTCAAAGCCTCATCTTTGACGGGATGATGCCTGCAGAGTAATCAAGTCTAGATCAGATGTCATGATGTTTTCTGGGTAACATTTAATAATTAAATACTTCATATTTTGCAAGTTACTGAACCAATCTTTTACTTTCAGCCAATCTAAGCTTTTCTGTTATTTTGCTGTGTGGAGATTGTTACATTATTGTGGAATTGCACTCATATTTCTACCATTCATTTGAGTCAATTTTTCACCAAAGGGAAATCTATTGGCCCATCAGTCACACCAAGAATTATTTTTTTCACCAGCCGGCATTGCAGCCAGCCCAATGTAATCCTCTCTGCCCT